GTGTGTGAGTGTGTCTGTGTGTGTGAGTGTGTCTGTGTGTGTGAGTGGTGTGTGTGTCTGTGTGTGTGAGTGTGACTGTATGTGTGAGTATGTCTGTGTGTGTGAGTGTGTCTGCGTGTGTGTATGCCGGTGTGATCCAGCGATGAGACTCAAGTTGTCCAGCATGCATGCAAGCACCTCTACCCAATGACTCATCTTGCCAATCACCATGTTTACTTTGACTTCATGAGAAAAATTGCCACCAACACTGTGGTCTGCATATGAGATGTCCTCTAAAGGCTCGTGTTAGAGCACTTGGTCCACAGCTGGAGGAGCTGTTTTGGAAGGCTGTGGAACCTTTCAGAGGTAGAGACTTGAGGAAGTAGGTCAATGGGCTTGACCTTGAGGCTTGCTAGCCATACTCGACTCCAGTGCTCTTCTCTTTCCACTGGTGCCATTGCTGCCACAGTGCCTTCCCCACAGTGAGGTCAATCCCTAGACCACACATGGTAGAAGTGAGAACTAATTACTAAGTTGTCCTGACTTCCACACGACAAGCACTGCACACACAGTAAATAGATGTTTAAAAAAAAAAAAGAAAAGCTTGTAATTTGTTATCTTCAAAGTTATACCTAACTTTGTGCTAGATACACTAAATAACTGGGGCTAAATCCAATGATCCCATGAACATAGAGTCATTATTTCCCTACTTTCAGACTGGGAAAAGAGGAAATAGTCACTTAAGTAGTAAAAGCATGTTCTGATCTCAACCCAGCAAGTTGGCTCTAGAACGTTCTCTTTTTTTAATCTTATTTTTTAAGAGTAATGGTTTATTTTTATTCTGTGTGCAATGGTGTTTTGCCTCAATGTATGTCTGTGTGAGTGTGTGAGATTCCCTGAACTAGAGTTACAGATGGTTGTGAGCTGCCATGTGGGTGCTGGAAATTGAACCTGGGTCCTCTGGCAGAGCAGCCTGTGCTCTTAACTGCTGAGCCATTTCTCTAGCCCCCCAAACCCATTCTTAACTCCTATCCTATCATGCCCACAAAGATGACAGATCTCCATCTAGCAAGCAGTAAGCACCTATTTAACAAGCAGTCAACCACTGAAATATAAGGAAGCCCAAAAAAGCACAATAGAGTCAACAAATAAGGTAGAAATCAAAATAGCCATATGTACTTCTAACCTAGTCAAAAGGTATGTCACATTGAATAATGACACACCCTGCTCACTGAAATCTAACCCAGATTTACTAAAGTTGTTTGCATTTGTTAGCTAGATTCTACCAATGCTAGACAATCTGTGATTATGGGAAAAGCAGACTGTTATATACACTATATATACATGTGCTACACCATATACATATGTGTATAGACATGTACATGTGTATAGACATGTACATGAGTAGCTGGCACAAGAAATAATCCACAGTACAAACACACTTGTACATATGCAACCCCTGTCTCTCAGAATGTCTTACTCATCTTTGTCTCCTCAGGATATGTTCACCTAGTGCCTCTCAGCAGCACCTGGAAGATTCCCAGTGACAGTTGATACAGCAAAGACACTGGTGTAGGTAGTATGACACAGCAAGGCTTTTAATTCAAACAATGTGAGTTCTTCATTTCCCACTTAATGAATGCTCAACATCCACTTGTGATGATCCACTTTAAACGTTCTGTTCATTATTTACTCTCTATTCTATATATAACTCCTATCAGTTCATACATGCTGCCTTCAAGAATCTCCTCAGAGGACCAGGGAGAGGGCTCTGTGGGTAAAATGCTTGCCACTAAATCCTGCTTGTCTGAATTTGCCTGAAACCCATATACAAGGCTGAATGTGGTAGTGCACACCTGTAATCCCAGGATCTCTAAAGCAAGGGAGGAGGGAGAGAAAATCATCCAGAAGCCTTTGGGCCAGCTAGCCTGAAACAGTAAGAGCAATACTGCCTTAATGTGGAAGTAGGGGAGAACATACTCCCTCAAGTTGTCCTCACATCTGCACTTACACTCACACACTAAATAACTTCTTTAATCACCTCAGGGTTATGGATGTATCTTAGTGATAGAATACGCCTAGCATATGCAAGGTTCAATCCCTAACACCAAAAAAAACAAACAAACAAACAAACAAACAACAACAACAACAAAAAAAGCTAAGTTGAGTGCATTATAAGAATCACTTCAAAAGTTAAGAATGAATGGGGCAAGGATGATGGCATACACCTTTATTCCTCTACTGGGAAGTAGAAGTAGGTAGATCTCTGTGAGTTTGAGACCAGCCTTGTTTACTTCAGGCCAGCCAGGGCTACATGGTGAAAACCTGTCTCCAACAAATTAGGCACAGTGGTACATGCTTGTAACTCCCAGCACTCAGGAGTAGAGAGGCAGGAAGATCAGAACTTCAAGGCCATTCTTGGCAACACAGGCTAGCCTAGTCCAGCCTAAGCTATACAATCCTTGTCTCAAAGTACAAACAAAATCATTTCAAATCCTAAATTCCCCATGAGCCTCCCCTTACAAACTAAAATATAAATGGTTAATTAGTGACTTCTCATAATATGTATTTTCCATATGATGTTTGTCATATGGCTATACTACTTCCTATTGCCAGCCAAGTATGAATTTTAGTTACTAGAAACAGAAAAAAATTGTTTTCCATAAATCAAAATCATTCAGACATGTACTAATTTGAAAATGTACTCAATTAAACTCAACAGGAGGAGAAAAATAATTCCTTCTAATAATTTCTTAAAGGAAAAGAATTCTTCAACAAGTTATTTGCATTTTTTGCATGTGTTATGTGTGTGTAAATCTAGTTCAGTAAATACAACCATTGAATTTTCTTTGAATTTCTTTGAAATACAACCATTGAAGTTTCTTTGGGAAGACAAAAGGAGGGGCTTTTTTTTTTTCTTTTTTCAATGCCATTAGGATAATAAATTCAGAAAACATTTTGGTAATTCCCTATACCCAAAGAAAAAAAATCAAACTATCTAGATTTCCTAAAACTACTGGAGAAATCCTGCAGTAGATGTAGAAGAATTTATTACTGCTTTCTAACAAACAGAAGAATGGATAACGACTCTCTTCAGGGTTGGGAAACAAGTTTTTATCCAGAGTCTGACCTACTTCAATAAATTCAGCTGACACTGGCTATGGAATTAGTACTTAAGTTTTTAAAACTGCTAAAGTGCCCTCAAAGCAACCCAGAAGGACAGCCCAACTGTGCCTGTGGGAGCTTCACTCAGAAGGGCAAAAGGATTCCTTCCACAGTGATTAAGTCTACAAACTTACTCACAGGAGAATGAGAACCTCATAAAGACAACACGCTGACGACCAACTTGCATTCACAGAATGCCAGTTCTGTCACATTCCCAGGAAAATGGGAGTAAGTAGCACTAAAAATGTTCACTTTATTAAATGCTAACTTATTCAAAATGGTGTTTAGATAAAAATAAGCAGTCTGTCAACAACACATACTTTACAGTAAGCTTTGAACTTTCTAAGAGAAGAGTTGCCTGCATTTTTCTATGAATGTCATCTCTTGTTTCTGGTAAGAACCTGCAACCTTTCACAAACTAGAGTGGTTAAGCCAAATGAAAACAACCAATCTCACACTGTCACGGTTTTTAATAAATGATACTTTGCAAAAGCTGACTTTTTTAAATGACTTTTTCCTTAGCTACCAATATTATTTGTGGTTGGAGTCAGGGAGATAACAAACAAAACTCAATTGTTGTTATAATAGTTTAGATAGACTACAAGAGGCATTGTAAATCTCTGTGAGACATGACCAACTAGTACTAAATAAAAACCTATCTATTCCCCATAGCTTATCTAATACAACATATATATAATATTCAGTATCTTAGTTCTGTGAAAATGCAAGACTAAAAACAAAATGGGGATAAATTTTAGAAGAAATTAAATTACAATAATGTATTTAAGTAGTTACTTAAATGATGTACACATTTCAAAGGAAGAATAATTCAGTAAAACTAAAGAAAGCTAACCTGAATTTCTATACTTTAGTGTGACAAGGATTTGGACATGCTACCCAAAGTACAGTCCATGACACAATGCAGACGTTAAGCTGAAGGAATCTGAGACACAGCAGGCACAAACAGGTCTCTCTAACCTTTCCTTAAAGCAGGTCACAAGACCATCAAGCAAGAAGAGCTCTGGTAAACTCTCTGTGTAACCAACAATGACCTTGGACTCCTGATCCTTCTGCTTCCACCTCTCCAGAGCTGAGACTCTTGGTGTGCACCAACATACCTACCTAGCTTCTGTGGCATCAGGGATTGAACCTGTCTACTCTTTACCAGACCTAGAGCAAAACACTCAGGTTTAAGGATTTCTTTGATTTCACATCTCCTTAGGGAGCTGCTAAGTTCTGTTGCTATAGTTAGGAAAGGAGGCTTATATGGCTTCTATACAACTCCTTTGCCTGGTGGTTGACGTGAACCACATAGCCAGCTCCATGAAACAGTATTTGTGATAAACTTGGTAAGCATACCGTGGCTACTGCACACAGATAATCCCATTTGCCTCTCCTCGTCCTACTCGAAATTCTAGGATGCTTCTAGAACTAGCTCCTAAAACTAGTATGATCTTATGTCCTTTCTGCCCTCACAATCAGCTTGGCTATCAGTCTGACTCATTTGTCTCAACACACACACACACACAAACACACACACACACTCACACACACTCACACTCACACACACACACACACACACACACACACACACATACACACACATCCTGTATTTTTCCATCCTTCTTGCTTTGTTTCGTGTTTTCTTGCACCAGAATGTTCTTCTCACCCATTTTCTGCCTAGTAAAATCCTTTAGAATATATTAAATGTTATCTTTTCTAGGAAATCTACTGTACTGGCTAGGTTTGTGTGTCAACTTGACACAAGCTGGAGTTATCACAGGGAAAGAAGCCTGCCTTGAGGAAATGCCTCCATGAGATCCAGCTGTAAGGCATTTTCTCAATTAGTGATCAAGGGTGGGAGGGTCCATTGTGGGTGGTGCCATCCCTGGGCTGGTAGCCCTGGGTTCTATAAGAAAGCAGGCTGAGCAAGCCAGGGAAAGCAAGCCAGTAAGTAACATCCCTCCATGGCCTCTGCATCAGCTCCTGCTTCCTCACCTGCTTGAGTTCCAGTTCTGACTTCCTTTGGTGATGAAGAGCAATGTGGGAAGTATAGGCTGAATAAACTCTTTGTTTTTTGGTCATGATGTTTTGTGCAGAAACAGAAACCCTGACTAAGACATACACCATTTATCATTCCTTATTATTATTAAAGCCTTAATAATCACCAAGATCTCTTTTTGGCTACCTGGCAAACAATAATATCTGGAGGATTTCTTTTAAGACATGCTCTCATATAAACCTGGCTGGTCCTCACTCACTATACAGCCAGAGCTGGCTCTGAATTCCTGACCTTCCTGCTTCTACCTCCTGAGTGCTAGGATTACAGGTGTGTGACCACACCTGGCCAAATTTGGAGTTACATAATCTACTGTGATGCTCAATAGAGGAGAGGCATGACCATGTGCTAATTCTGTTCCTACATAAAGAGAGCAAAGTTCATACTTATTATTTCAATTAATCCCTCAAGCAATCTGCTGAGGTATTTATTGATACTCCTGCCTTGTTAAAAGCTTGGAGAAATTAAATAACTTCCCCAAGATTAGGCAACTAACAGGTTTTTGAGTCCATGTTTTACTGCACAACATTTAAGCGATTTCAAACTTTCTCAAAAGTACAAATTCGTCTGAGGGGCAGGGGTGATTGCTGGCACAATCAACATCCATGTTTGCATGTATGGGGCTATCACAAGACTCAGCAGCTGGACCATCACAACACAACCCTACCATTTAGCTGAGTTAGTCAGGTCCTCCTCTTTCTCAGAAGCCTCAGTGCAGAGTCACACAAGCACTGACTGGAATCAAGTGATCATTTGAACCCTATTGTCATTTAATAATTGTCTTGGTTTTTTGGTTCTTTTAAATTTTTTTGATATGTATGGAAGTTTTGCCTACATGTGTATCTGTGTACCACACCATGCACATGTAGAGGATGCTGGATCCTCTAAGATGGAGCCCTG